ATTAACATGTCAAGAGCCTCATTAATTTGCGTTGGAGACCTTTGATATGTTATGGGAAAATGAGTTACAAATAATATTCTACCATCTGTAACCATGAATGGCAATTTTGCTGAGCCATGGATGTTGGACGCTGCTTGTGAAACAGATATTAGACTGTCTATCCAATATTCTGTCAAAGAAAGTTTTTGGATATTTTCCAATCGCTCTCTCCGGTGATCTTCATCTAAATAATCATCTTCAAATTCAAAATCTTCAGTTTCTTTAAGATACCAAATCTGGTATGGTTGGAAAAAATGTTCTCGTTCTTGCCAACCAACAGTGCTGGAGATCCAAAAAGTAAAATATTTGCTCCATCGAAAGCCTTTTACTATCATAAGAGCATTGTTTTGATGATCATTGGATAATCTATCCATTGAATTGGATCCAAAATTTGGAAAATAACTTGATTAGTTATTCCCCAATCTATATCCTCAAAAAACCACATGTCATGGTTTGCCATGATAGTTATTTTGAGAATTCCATCTTTCAAATTTAATTTATTATAAGATCATTCTAAGATTTGTCTAATCTTATCATGATGATCTTCAACTCGATTTTTGATTAACATAAAAATTTCTTTGGAAGCAAAGTTCTTGCTTTTTTAAAAAGACATTCTTTTTATTTGTTCAAAAACTGGATCAGAAAACTCATCTGATATAAGGTTTGATAGTTGAAGAAAATTGTTTATTTTTTCAAAATTAAAATCTTCATTCCAATTCATTTGTTTAAGAATATTGAAACAAAGATTTTGCAAATCTTTTAATTTAGCTGTTTGCTCAGCTAATTTGTTGGCCAGAACTCCCATGTATTTTCGAAATTTCACTTTGTTGTCTACAATGTGAGTTTTCCAAACTCCATTGAGTTCTGTATAAATTTCTCTGGATATACCAGGGTTGAAAAAATATTTTATTTCAGATTCATCTGGTCTAGATGTCTGAATATTAGCTGGAACTGGGTTAGTTCTCATTTGACAAAAATTCTTTTGATAAACTGGCATAGCAGGTGCACTGTAAAAAGCTTTTTTAGCTTTAGTCATGCTATCATATGCTTTATAGCTCGCTCCTGAATATCCACAAACTTGCAGATTGGCTTCGTTCCAGTCTGTGTAGATTCCAGGTTGTCTTCCTACAAACACAACATAAACTTTTTCTTCTCTGGGGATTGTTTTTTTAGCAATTGTCGCCCAATCTCCTTGAGCGGGTTGTTTACCCTTATCCATTGTTTCCTCTTGGTCTAGAGGTCTTCTGCAAAAATTAAATTTACTTGTTTAGCAATATAATTTTCTGAAACAATTTCTGCTAAGAAAATCTGCAAGAAAATTGTTAGTACTTTTAAGATGTTCTACTTCAAAAGTATATTCAGAAATTTTATTATACCAGGCTAATCTTCTTCCTTATTCAATAGGTTTTTTATTGATCAAGAAATTTCTTACTGCGTTATTATCAGTGCGTACAATAAAATTTTCGGGGGCTAAATAAATATGAAAACTCTTTATTGCCAATTTTATTGCAAGTAATTCTTTTTCAAAAATAATATATTTCTGTTCATTTGGTTTAAATGTTCCAAAATTATATCCGCAAATTAATTCTTCTTTTTGTAATTTTATGGGTATTGGATTTTTTCTTGGTCTAATCCCATTTTCTGATAAAGGTATCTCTTTATCATGCCATAAATTACTGGGTATAGCTTTAAGAACACATCCCCAGCATGCTTTTGAGGCATCTGTTTCTAAAATTAATTTATCATCTGTTTTAGGAAGATAAACACCTGGTAAAGTTTTAACAGTTTCTTTAATTTGTTTAATTAAAGCAACATCTTCTGCTATCCATTCAAAAATAACATTTTTCCTTAATTTAGTTAACTAAAGAATTTCTATTTTTGAAATATTTTTAATAAAATTTCGTCCATAATTTAAAATGCCTAATAGACTCTGTAATTGTGTTATATTTTCAAGAGTATTAGGAAAATCTCGTACTTTGGACAAAATATGTTCTTGTAATTTTAAACCTTTCTGGTCTAAAATTATTCCCAAAAATTCAATTGATTCTTTTTCTAATTCAATCTTTTTTGGAGACAAAATAATTCCATGTTTTTGGAATCTTTCACAAAGTAATTTTAAATGTTTCTTATGCTCCTCCTTGGTTTTAGAGAAGATAAGTATATCATCAATATAAACTACACAACAATCTTTAAGGTCTTTAAAAATTGTATCCATCCACCGTTGAAATACCTATGGTGCAATATTTAACCCAAAAGGCATAACATTCCAGTGGTAATATCCTCTAGGTGTACTGAAGGCTGTCAATTTTTTTGACTCTTCAGTCAATTGAATTTGCCAAAATCCACTTTTACAATCAAATTTGCTAAAGATTTTTGATCCTTTGGTTAAGTTAATCAAAACATCTTTTCGTGGAATAAAATATCCATCAAATTCTAAATTTTCATTTAGTCGTTTATAGTTGACTACCATTCGGGTTTTTCCTCTTTTAATTTCAACATGATTTCTTACCATAAAAGCTGGGCTAGAGTGAGGACTTTTGACTAAATTACCCTCTAATCCTGAGTAAGATTTGTGGTGACATGGACATCACTATGCTTATTGTGTGAGATAAATTTTATGAAATTAATCTCTACTACTTAATTCAAACTATGAATTTGAAAAATTATTTTTTAAAACTATGTGTGTTTATTTCATTTAAATTATTAACTAGTATCTTTAACACATTGTTACATAGGTTGACTCACTCGATTGGTTGAAAGTTTTAATTCATTTTGCCCATAATAAATAGATATTGATATACCATGTAACAAAATAAGTTGTTTGAAAAATATTTAAGAACATCAATAGTATAAACCTAGAAATTTTATTTTGAAATATCGATTTAGATTTTTTTATATATGGACTCTACACTTATACTAATTCAATCTCTACTATAAAACACACTATTCAAAAAATTTATATGAATTTTACTCATACATTAATTTATGACTTAGATTCATTTGCATATGCCCCCACATTTATACTAATTTAATCTTTATCACATAAGACAATATCTAGAAAAATTTGGATAGTTATATCTGGAATGGTAGACTTCTCTTTAAGAAAACATAGAGTAAAAATCAATTGTGACAAATTATTATTTTTAGATTCAATTAAATTAAACAAATTATGTACATAAAAATATTTTTAAATCTGGTCAGAAAAATATTAATGAATTAATGCCAATGATTTAACGAATAATTATTCAAAATTGATAATTTTAAAGATGAAAGAGGGTAAAATACTAAAATGACACAAACCCTATTATCTTAATTCATACTTTCTTTTGTTTTTTTGGATAAATTACACTCATTTCCCTTGAAATTTAAAGAAAATACAGACAGTCTTACACTTTTGACATAATTACAGTAATATCCCTTTTAGTATGATTAAAACTTCTGAAACTAAAGTCAATAGTAAGTAGACACTGAAATAAATAAAAATAAATTTGACATAATTACAGTAACATCCCTTTTAGTATGATTAAAACTTCTGAAACTAAAGTCAATAGTAAGTAGACACTGAAATAAATAAAAATAAATATACATTTTAGTAAGAAATAGATAATATCATTATTTTCAATCATACGACTAATAAATTATTGATGAAAAAAATGTGAGTATGATGTGAAATAAAATTTTGAGGGAGTTATGTCGAAAGTGGGAAATTAACTATATTATTTTTAAATTACAAGAAAAGTGAGTTTAATTTACTTTTATGAACAAAATTATTAGATGATTTGAAAATCAATATAAAAAATTGATTAATTGTCATTGAGAAAATTAATAACATTGAACATAGCATTAATGTTTACTTCAAGTTGCTAAATAATATTAGGAGAAGTAGATGATTTGATTTGAAGGGCAAAAGGGAGAAAATAAAAACACATAACTGATTATAAAAACATAATTGATTTTTTGAAGGCCCCAACAAAGACAATCATAAAAATCACGTAACATTGTCTGTATTTAAATAGTAAAAAAATAACCAAAAATTAAGTAAAAGAATAAGGCCACGAGAAGAGAATGAAGAAATACGCAGAAGAACTAGCAGAAGAAGAAATAAAGGGCAGAGGGAGGTCGACCGGCCGGATGACCGGGGGGACGACCGGCTCAGCTATTTTACTTGGCAAAAGGTGCAAACAGTTCAGACAGATCATTTTTCTTATCTTAAACTATCTGTATACTCGTTTGTATTTCTCAGAAATCATTTGAGAACTGATTTCAACTTCTCAGAAATCATTTGCATATAACAGATGAAGGATATATTTACCAGATTAGTGGGAATGATTTTTTCAAATTAGTGACCGATAAGAAAATATGTGAAATAAATTGCTGAGTTATTTGACCTCGCACTTATCGTTGTTTGGTTGCCCGTAGAAGGAATCGTCCACAACGCACAAATTGTAAGTCACTCAATTTGTGGGAGATGATATGAGTAGGGAGCGGGTTCATAGGATTCATCATTTATAAAATGGTCTGAGTTCTCTATGAATACTACCCGTGACGAATCTCCAGTCCTGATCTTTGACATAGAGAAAGGAAGATGAGTAAATCAGTTCACGTGAAACTTTTCAGAGAGGCGATGGACATGGAAGCTTTTCAGAAAGGAAGAAGAAGAAGGCTAAAACGTTGAAAGTGAAGAAATGAATCACAAGGTTGCCAAATAGGTTTTCAAATTGTAGTTTGAATTATATAGTAGAATTGTATTTTGAAAATGTTATCCAAACGTGAAACGCGAGTGATAGTGTTGAAATGTAATTTGAAAACGCAATCAAACAGAGTCAAAAGATTTTATTTTCTATTTACTTTTTGTACATTTTTATTAAAAAAATTAAAAAATTATTAAAATAGCCGGTTCAACCGAGGCGTTAGTGACTATTTTAGTTGAATGTTGTTCTCAAACAAGACCTTTGTATGGAGAAAGAAAATTGTGTGGGAATAGAAGCTACCAATTGTCACCTTAAGTGTAACGAAAATACTAGCAATTGTATTTCTTCCTTGCTTGCGGCTCCTGCTCTTGGAGGAGTCCTCGTCGGGTCTCCATCGACCGTCGGAGAAGAAAAAGAAGAATCCACAAAATGCTTGGAATTTCATACGGAGAACTCTTCCTTTTACTTGGAGCCACTGCTGCTCTCATCGGTACTCCTCTCTCTCTCTCTCTCTCTCTCTCTCACACACACACACACACACACACACACACACACACATATATACACGTATATACAAAATTATGAAATGTTTGAACCGAATTAGGGTTTTGATTGATTATTAGGTCCCAAGGATCTCCCAATTATAGCCAGAACCGCCGGCAAGTTAGCTGGTCGTGCCATCGGATACGTTCAATTGGCTCGCGGCCAATTCAATACTATCATGCACCAAACTCAAGCTCGCCAGGTCTCTCTCTCTCTCTCTACACATTGGCACGGACAATAATTCCGAAAATCATCTTTGTGTGTTCTTCATACTGCATATACGTTTAGACACTCTAGCTCACGTATCCTAAAAATTTAGAAAGGAATAATTCTGCATAATATTGGAATATAATTATAAGAATATATATAAGAATAGTTCTTAAATATTTTTTTTTAGTTCTTACCCAAGGAGAATATATTGAGATTAAATTAGTATGCTACTTTTGCCAAATTTATCCAATTAATATGTCCACTTGAACAAAAAAAAAAAATGAACTAACTACGGGCTCCTATACTAATCCTATCTAATTACTAAAATTGTTTTTTCACAATTCTTTGAGCTTGTATATAATATAATACTAAAATTATAATGTTTTTTTAAATGTATCCTAGCTGTACTTGTATCCTATTATTTTAGATTTTTTTGTATTGTCGTATCTGTATTCATGCTTCATAGATCAGTGTTGATACCAGAACCTTCTATGGTAAGTGGCGTTGTTTTGTGTTATGTAAGATTTTATAGTATCCATCAACTGCAGGATTAGTATTATTCTTTGTTTGTTTGTTTCATTAATTAGATGTTACAAATGTTTTTTTGGTGCAAAATATTGGAACGATGGTGCCCTCTAACTCTCTCTTGGTTTTTAACTTCCAGGTGCACAAAGAACTGCAAGATACAATTGCTCAACTAGAAGCCATACGTCATGAAATTCGAACCGTCTCTTTCATGAATCCTAGTCCATTAACTCGGAGGCTAGTGGACAATCTTGACCAAACATCTGCTGCTAGTGGTATCCTATTTGTTTGAGATCTTTAAATTTCTAAATTGAATGGCTATGTTTTTCTTGTGTGAATTTGGGACAATTGATTATTCTTTTTATGGGTTTCAGGTAATAATGAACCTGAAAAACCTGACACAGCGAACAGATCAACCACCCCAGATGCTAAGGTTTTATTTAGCAGAATCACCATTCATTGCATATTACATTCTTTTCATGTAGAATTTTCTTATACCAATAATGATTTAACTTCTTTTATTATTATCATTATTATTTGTTTTCTCCCAGAATTATGGCTCAACAAACTTGGGATTTTCTGATATGCAGAGCCAAGCAACAGCTTATGCGAAATTGGCTAAATCAACAGCTATAAACTCTGGGTCAGCGGAAAGTAATGAAGTTATTAATGAGCTAACTGATGAATCTGGTATTATGGTTCTTCCTGTATCTGCTGAAAGCACCGGATTACTGCCAGATCGCAAAGGTAGTAACCTTCTGTTAGATTTAGCATCACATGTTTTTGTCTTACCATGTTGCCTCTTGGTTAGTTTAGTTTAACTGTTAGTCAAAGTTTAGTTAGTTTCTGTCTTGGTTAACCAGGGATTCTTAAAATAGGATATTTCATAAATTTTTATGTGTTAGATATCTGAATTTATGAAATTGTCTGTCTCATAATTGAAGCAATTCATGCTTGCAATTGTTTCTGTAAGTGATGTATCGGAAAATCTAGAAAGAGATCAAGTAGGGCTCATATTTTGTCATTTTTTAAGGTGTTGGACCATTTTGAAGTCTCCTTTTTTTCTTTTTCTTTTTTTCCCGTTTAAGCGAGCTACAATATTCTTTGACGAGTAGCAACACTTTAATGTCTCCTTTAAGCTGGAAATGTGACATCACATGAAAGTTTGGTACTTAGAAGATTTTTGATGGATGGAAAATTTATAGTGTTTAGAAAGTTACCAGACCTTTAGATAAGTGAAGCAATGCTGCATGATACTCGAATTCTCAAGGGATGCTGCAATATGGGACAAATTGGGAAGCCTTTGTAGAAGTGAGTTGATTACACCTCTTAAAATTTTGACTTGAAAAAAATATAAAGTATCATTCACCCCAATTTCAACTTAAAGCTATTTTACAAGTTCAACAATTTTTACATTGAAGGAAAAGTAGTCCTGCTCCCTGTAAAGCCACCCAATCACTATCCATATTGAGTTAGACATTTGAACCAACTATGTGGTGGCACCAAACACGTGTTCTAAATCTCCACAGAATACATAGTTTTGTGGGAGTCTACTTAATTCATTACTTTGTAACTTGTAACTCGTGCTATTTCTTTCTTGTTCATCAAATATCACTGTTTTACAAAACCAATAAACACTTGTATCATTTGACCATAATTAGTTATTAGTTTGAGAGACAATTTATTTGATATTGTTGTCCAGCGCATAAGAATAAAAAGGATCGATCAACTATCACTCATCAGTAAATATTGATATAATAGTCCATTAACGAAAACCACCTGAGAAGAAGTTTGCAATTTCTTACGAATAATTGACAAGATTTGGATCCTCACCACCTAATTGAAAGCTTGTTTATGTTAGAGTGATAATACCTCTGGAAATGTTTCCATATTCCTTTAGTAGGGTATGCAAAAGGAATGTTGAATTTCTGAAGATCAAAATACCCTGAAGTCTCCCAAATTATTCATGGGAAATAGGAGATGTTCTTGCTGAAATGAATTTGAGCCTCAAGACCCCTAATCCCCAACAAAAAAATCAAAAAGAAGGTTGATACAATAGCAAAGCATGCATACAATTGTGTGGAGCCTGCAAGCGGGAAGAAATTGAACATCACAAACACAACTAAATTTATGCGTGTAGTAGTGGCCTTCGTCTCTTGAGGATATATGAAGAGGTCACCATCTCTAGGCATGATGCTACATATTAAACCACAAATAGAATCCGCTGAAACTCAATGTGGCCAAATGGCGCCAAGATCTCCAATTTACCATCTGCATTGCATTGTCTACTGTACTGTTCTAATCTTACAGTGCCAGACATCTCTGAAGTTAACTCGATTCAGTAACTCCATAGCCTGTCCTTTAAAGGTTGGGGAAGTTTAGTTTCCTAGATTATGACACCATCCTTGGAGTTATACGTCTTTGGTTATCTAGAAACTGGACATGGGAAATGCTTCAAGACAAGTCCTCTAGTCTTTCAAGTAGAATGAAGGTTATTATCCAGTGTTGGTCATGACAGTGCATGGTGCTGAGAAGGGTTGACCTAGTCTTCTGCATTATTTGCACAAAGTGACTGCCTTCAGACTTGAATCCATGTTCTCATGCTTGGAAACTCAAATGTTAATGCTTCTATCAAAGTAATTTCTTAATCCTCTCAAACAGAAGGGGAGTAACTTACTAAGGAATTAAAAAAGTAGTATAGGGAAATTACATCAAATTCTGTAAGAAGTAGTCATCAAATTCTGTAAGTAGTAGTTCAAGAATTGGCTGGGCTCGTGTGCCTTACTCAGTTACATATGGCATTACAGTAGCGTACAATCTAATACATTTGCAGTATTTGTTTCAGTAATTGCTTGTTTGCATGATCAGTGTCTGTATGTGCATATGCTATTTATCCATCAGGTAACTTGTATACATATGGATGGATTTTTTTATGCATGGTACATGTGCTTGCATTTTTGCATTCACATTGTTGTACAGAGAAATAACCTGTTACTTTGGTGTCAGATAATGCTGAAGGATCTGACATTATGTTGGAAGCGATCTTGGAAGCAGAAGTGGCACGTAATGCGAAAGATTTTTTTGCGCAGCACCAAAATCAAATAAAATGTGAATAGAAAGGTATTTTGTTTTATAGCATATTCACTAGTCCCATTTGTTTGGAGTCTTTGGACTGTAAGCATTTGCAAATGGAACCCGTTTTGTCGTCGGATTCGCGATTTCCTTCGCGTTTCGGACATTTTCAACCGAACACATCTTCGTTTCGGTGCCTCGTTTGCCATTCCCACCTTCTTGGGGTTTGTTCCCCTCGTCTTCCTCTTGATTTCCGTACCATTTCACATCCCGGCCTTTCCGGCCATTTTCGACCTTCTCAGGAGTTGACCTTTCGGTTGACTCTTCGTATTCTAGCCCGATTTTTTTTCCTCCGGCTATTTTCTCATCATTCTCGATATGGCGGACGACATTCCACGCGGCGGGACTCCCCCGGATCACGAGATGGATCCCGGGGTCGAGCTTCTACCTTTGCGCCAGCGCCCGTTCGACCCGACGACCTACCGGCCGACGATCCATGTTCTGCCCCCCGACGGACTCCGCCAGTTTCGGAGCTTCGAGAGGCACGTGCCACCCGAGCTATTGCTGCGCGAGCCTACCTCCCACCTGTCCTTCGGCGTTTCCAAGGTAACTCTCTTTCCTCTACTTTACTTTCTGCAATGTAGGGCACAAAAACTGTCGTAGCTTATTTATGCTCTTTAATTGCTTTAGCTGATATACCGTATACCATAGTTGACTGTAAACATACACACAACTGATATCTGCTTGAAACTGACACATGCACACACACTGCACTAGCCCTGAATCACCTAAACACACAGCGCACATTGTATACACACTGGCACCCGATATCTGCTTGAATCTGAACGTATGCACACATGCTATACTGTACTGAACCATCCGAACACGTTGACGCATCACACGTTGTAGTTCACTGTAAGCACACTGGCACCCGGTATTTATTCAAATCTGTTAAACTTGCACGCATGCTACATCTGTACTGAACCACCAAAACACGCTGACACATCACACGCCGTAGTTCACTGTAAGCACACCGGCACCCGGTATCTGTCAAAATCTGTTAAACTTGCACGCATGCTACATCTGTACTGAACCACCAAAACACGCTGACACATCACACGCCGTAGTTCACTGTAAGCACACCGGCACCCGGTATCTGTCAAAATCTGTTAAACTTGCACGCATGCTACATCTGTATATTTCTTAGAACTGCATTTTGAATGTTGTCTTGCCATTGTTATTTTCTGTTTACAGGAGGATTCCCATACCAT